CCCCCCCCCCCCCACCCCTCCCTTTAATTCTACTTACTCATATACAACCCCCTTTTAATTCTACTTACTCATATACAACCATCTGATAGTAACTCCTATTCCCTTGAGAACTCAGGTTGCTATATCAGGATGTCGATCAAAGGACTACTTTGACAGGTACGGAGATCTGAAAAGAATCCGAAGGCTTAAATACTGGCCCATGGATCGCCTCCTCGTTGACAAGTACAAATTCCCTGAAGCCGAAGCTAAGGAGTTTTCACAGTTTCTCTGCCCTCTCCTTGATTTCGCCCCTGAGAAACGGCCAACAGCAGCACAGTGCCTCCAACATCCTTGGCTCAAAACCAAAGACCTAAACCCCCCAAGTGAACGTAAAGCAGTTGGTATAGGAAAATTGGAGACTGGAATGAGCAAGCTTCAAGTTAATTCGGGCAGGTGAGCCCCCTTCGAAATTCTTTTAAACCACTAATAAAGAGTTGTGATTGGAGTAAGAAGCATCGATATAGTATGAATGGGCGCTAATTGATCCCCCCAAGTCATGCAAGATCATCTAATCTTTGTTATAGATGTCTTGCAACGGAGTGTCAGGAAATTTTTTAGGTAATACATCTGTTGATATTATTGATGTTGTATGATTATATAAATATGTTTTTTGTGCTGGTTGAAAAGATTCTGACATCAAGGAGACCACGGAGGTTCCAGTGAGGGTTTTAGCTTGTGAGCTGGGGCTTTTTTGGAGGATCCGCCTGTGTGGTGACGAGAAGCTTTTGTGGAAATGTGGGGTTGTGTGAGTTGTATAACTTACATATATACAAATATTGGATTCATTTATTTGTTTGTGTATCTAATTAAAGAAGGGTTTCTTCCACTGTAAAACAGTTGAAAATTGTATCAGGCCAAACTTATAAAGGCACGCGTTGCCTGTTTCATGGAAGATTTATCTTTTAATAATGGTTTCTTTCTTTTAAAATCTGAAATCACAGAAAAATTTGTGGATAAATTGGCTTACGAGAGGCAGGGAGGTTGCATGTATGAAGCTGTATCGGTGTGCAAGGGTCTGGAGTTCTTATATTAAAAACCTACGTCAGTGTATGCTACACAATACATATTCATTGGAAAACCGTAGATTAGTGTATCTACTAACTTGTGTCTTAGGGACGGTTTGAATAGGTCAAAAATATAGGAGAACCATTGGAACGGTGGTCCTGCGCTAATATTGGAAACCAGTTTCCACAAAATGTTTCTAATGCTTTAGGGTGTGCTTGGCGCCTCGTTGAAAATGAGCGACACTTAGCTTGGAATTGGTCCTGAATAGGACCTGTTTAGTTGTGGACATTCTCCCCCCTTAGTCCACAAGTAAACCGCTTTAAATCCGAAAAAATGGTCTGAAACAATCTGGGTCATTTCTAGCATATCGTTTGCCAATAAAAAAAACTCTCTGAAACTAGATCAGGTTTGAACATAACCCAGTTTTAGAAAGTTGTCAAACACACCCTTAGTTTGGCTGAGCCAAAGAAACTAGTAAACTATTTCCTTAGACACCAAATTTTTGAGAAATCCATTCTTGGGCTTTGGAATGCTCAGATTTAATATTTAAAATTCTAAGGGGATCTTGAGGAGTTGATGCCCGGGTTATCTTTTATATATATATATATATATACTTAAAGTGGAGATTTCTCACATTTTTTTGCTCTCATCTTAAACAAGACAAAAAAAATTAGAAAATCAATTCCCACTATGATTTAGGTGATACAAACAAGAGAAATGATATTCCAAGCAAACTATATACTGAGTTGGAAATCAATGTTTAAAATTGAAATACATTTCCTATATTTGTGGGGAAAGTATCTGCATAGCCCTCCATCCAAAAATTAAACTATCATTTGATATATTAAACTATCATTTGGTGTATCATTAGTGTAATATATACCAATACCCTTTGATATTTTCTTCTTACCACCACTCGTCCACTATGTCGATTTCACCAAAAGTAACCCAGCAATCCATAACTAGGGGGTGTCCAAATGCCTGACCCGGTGCCCAGCCCTAACCTAGCCTGGGGGTCCCGGCCCGGGTTTGGCCCGAAAAACCTCGGCCAAATCGGGTTCCACCATGGCAAATATCGTCGGCGGCCCGGCACCGGGCCCGGTCCGGCCGCGACAAGGAGAAACGCCGAGTCAGGATGGCGCCGGGCCGTTTAGGATGGCCAGGTCGGGTCGTAACGGCATTTGGACACCCCCAAAACGGTCACCGTTTGGTTGTTAAGGCCGGCCCGGTCGTAACGGCCTAAAACGGTTATATTTAGCCTTTTGATCAAAATACCCCCAAAACGGTCAAAAAAACGGCCAAAATTTGAGGTATTTTGGTCATTTATCTAGGGGGCAGCCTCTATAAATAGAGGGGGTTTTCATTTATTTTTCTCATTCAAAACTCATCTACTTCTCTCTAATACTCCCTAATACTCTCTTATACTCTCTAATACTCTCTTTTCCTCTATAATTCTTCAATCAAATGGCTTCCTCCTCTGATTATGAAGGGTAAAACCCAACTCCCAATCTTGAAATGAGTTCTCCTACTACAGGAGCTACAGCTACTCCTACTCCTACCGATGTTGATCCCGACTCCGGTGGTGACGATTCTATACCAAGAGCTTCTAAAAGGTCGAGATCCGATGTGTGGAATTTTTTCGAGAAGATAGACGTCACTAGGGATGAACACGGTAGGCTTCTCACCTAGAAGGCTAAGTGTGCGTTGTGCGGCCATATTTTCCAAGCTCATCATAAAAGCAACACCAACCACCTCAAACGCCATTTAGATAAATACAACAAAGGTCAGACGCCTCAAGATGATATCCGACAATCTTTACTCTCCTAATCCTCATCTTCTGGTAGTGTTAGTAGTTTGAATTATGACGCGGTCCGAGCCAGGAAATGCGCCATCAGGTTTATTATTCTTAAAAATATTTCTTTTTAAATTAGTAGAATATAATGAATTTAAATATATGTTTACAGATGGTTTTTATCCCGTATTTAAAAATTTTCTCATTAAACTTGTCAACGTGATATTTTTAAAATATTATCAGGAAGAACAAGCAAAAATAATTTCTTATTTTTTAAGTTTAAACTGTAAACTTTCTTTAACTTCTGATATTTGGACATCTAAAGCACAAACTGGTTATTTATGTATCACAACACACTGGATTGATGATAATTGGCAAATGTTTAAAAGAGTTATTTCTTTTATTGCATTTGAAAAGTCACATACTAGTATTAATATTACAAATTTAATAATTGAAGAACTTACAAAATTAGCAATAACAGAAAGAATATTTTCTCTTTTACTAGATAATGCAAGTAATAATAATGTAGTTGTTGATTATATCTTGATTATATCAAAACATCTTTGCTATTGTCATGTCATGGTGATATTTTTCATATTAGGTGTGTGTGTCATATTTTAAATTTAATTATTCAAAGTGCATTTGGTGAAATTAAATCCAAGATAGAAAAGGTTAGGACAATAGCTTATGCTCATAATGCTTCTAAGCAAAGAATTAAAAGATGGAAACAATTTTATAAAAGAAAAAAAAATTAAAACTCAGACTAATTCCAAAAGATGTTGGTCATAGGTAAAATTCTACCTATGCAATGTTAAGTGTAGTAATAGAATATAAAAAATTATAAATGATTTTATTGTTTTCTATACTTCTAGTTCTAGCTCTGGTAGTATGTATGGAATAACTGAGGATGAATGAACAATTATATATAATTTAAAAGAGATATTACAAGTTTTTTATGATGCTACTATGTTATTATCTGGATGTTACAATTAATTTAGCTGCCTTACAAGTTTTAAATATTTTAAAAAAATTAATAAATATCGTATGATAATTATTTTGGAAATATAATTTTTCAAATGGAAAGTAAATTTAATAAGTATTTTATGCATATTCCTATTTTTTGGGGTTCTTATTGATCTATGTTTGAAGGATATTGGCCTTCAAAGTTTGTTAAATTCTTTATATGGTAATATGATAATAGACACTGATGACAGTCAAACCGTTACTACTCTTACCCATCATAATACTATTAGAAATTATTTTTAAAAATTATATGATGAGTATGCAGCTAGATATGGTGTAACCATACATCAGTCTATAGCTTCTGCTTCTACGAGCTCAAGTCGGGGCAAAAGTGTGAGTTTTGATAGGGAATCAATGGTAGCTGAGCTAACTGGTGGATCTGGACTTGGATCATCAGCTAAGGTTTTTGAAATTGATCAATATTTAACTACATCTTTAGTTAAATGTTACAATAATACTTTAGATATTTTACAATGGTGAAAAGTATATGGAACAGTTTCATATCCTATACTTTCCATCATGGCTCGTGACTTACTAACAATGCAGATTTTCACGGTAGCTTTGAGAATCCGCCTTCAGCACAGCAAGACGTTTGATCGACGATCACATGACATCGTAAGATCCGTATACCGTACAGGCGGTAATGTGCCTACAAGATTGGTGGAGGTACAAGAAGAGAACGTAAGACATCAATCGGATAGCTGATATTGAAGATAAATTTAAAGAGTTAGGACTAGCAGATAGATATAAAGAATAGACATGATTCATCAAATTGTAATTTTTATTTTTTAGCTGAAAATTTGTGATAAATAATTTTGAAAATAGTTACAAATGATAGTGATATAGATGAGTTGGTGCCAACCTAGTTGAGAGGTATTCATCTATTGTGATGCGACAAATTCCAAAATAAATTTATAATTGTAGATGATCAAGCGATTATTAATAAAGAAGTTATTTTTATCATTTTAATTTTTATAATTTTTTTGTATTTATAAATTATGTAATTATAATTGATTAGTAATATGATTGTTTTTATAAAAAAATTTGATTATTTTTTGGATATATATTTTTGAAAATTTAAAGAAAAAAATAAAAAAAATAAAAAAATGGGTCGACCCGATGCCCGACGCGGTCAGGTCCGAGCTCCGGTTTTGCTGGGCCCGGGCCCGATTTTCGCCGGCCCGTTTGGACAGGGCTATCCACAACATCAACAACCCAACTTTGTTGCCTTTGCCGATAATGCCCAGCTCTCTTTTAAAACCAAATTGCTCTTTACCCACAATTCTCCCAGCCACGTACCTAACAGAAATTAACAGCTAACTCTTTCTAATTTCATTAAGCTGTAGACCTAGCTAGCGGCCCTATGAACCCATCAATTGCTTTCATCTTAAATTTACAAGCGCAAAGGTGTGAATGGACGTGAAACGGGCTAGGAATCTCTCCTGTTTTGGCAATGAATGCATTTGTCAACTCCCTCTCTCAGTCCCTTGACATGAGCGAGCCTCTTCCATTAGTTATAATCGTAGAGAAAGCTATACAATGTAAAATCATTGCGTTGCCTTTTTCAAGCTTACAGAGCCAAATGCGGCGGTGAACTTGGGCTTTGGGGTGGACAAAATTAATACTGCTTGCTTTGCGACTTTAGCATGACCTTGTTTAAAGGAGCCATGTTCAGATGGACATGGTCCTTTCTTATTCACATGCAAGTATGCCTCTAGCTCCCATTATTTTAATTTAACTCCGTTGATTTGAAAAGAACACGGTGATCATGATTACAGCTCGAGAAGTTCAGATTTAAGAAGATATCAAGAAGAGTACGTACGCGCGTGCGTCAACATTTTTCAGGAGTTATGATTTAATCACCCGTCACCGTATTTATTTAGAAGGTTTATGTACAAATTTCTAATTTGTTCTCATTCTTCATCCGATCGTGTACGTACCCTCTTCTTTGTATAGATATTAGTTAATTTTTATTATCGATAAATCTCAGGCTCCAATCTCTTTTTCTTTAACGACCTTGTTTTACCAGAAGAATTAAAACTTAAGGATTATGTACTTCTGAAAGTGGACTGTATTTAGTAACCAAGGCAAGGTGCTTAT